TCTTGCACCTCGATGGCGACCCACCCAAGGCCCAGAGGGCGCGCGTCAAGCAGCACGCTATGCAGGCTGGCTGGGCAGGATGGTCCAGCGTCACAGACGGCAAGAACAGATCGACAAGGCAGACCGTCTATAACTGCATCTCTGATCCTGGGCGCACTAGGGAAGATCCGTATCCCATGCATTGTTGACCCGATGCATCGTGCAATTTGGTCCCTCAGGGTCGTGGGATGCTGCATGGACACGGTAAGGAGAATCGTTTCATCCCTATGCACCAGATTGAAGGCTCCATCTGGTTCCGGCTGTGGCACTGCAGGTTCCTCCTGCCAAAAGTATCTGGACTGCAAGGCAGTGGCAAGTGTGATGGGCTCACCTGGGCCTTGCTCGGGAGGAAAGAAGTATATTGTGATGCCCGGAAAAAGATGGACATGTCCTTCTGCAGAGAGTGGGACCTGGTCATCGCCAACGTATACAGCAACACTCAGATTGGGTGGCAAGTTAGCCAAGTGCACCAGCCCTACCTTATCCGTATATGCCGGCCCTACTGCAGCAAAGAGTCTGCCATCTATGCTGCAGGTATCAAGGCAGACCGTACGACGGTCCACACGCCAGCCTGGATTAGCAACCATAACCCCTACACCAGGACATGGCTGAGGACTTACTGCGATAAGGCACGGGAAAAAGAGCCTGGCAGATGGCATCCGTACACCCCTTACAGCATCAAAGACCTCCTGGGTTGTAGCCGGTAGGTGAAGCGGAACAACAACTCGTTCAACTACATATCCCGGGACGACAATTATAATGGGGGCAAGGATATCGTCCCCGATACCTGCACCTTCTTCACTTTCAGAAGTGCTGCCGTCACCAAAGCGCGGGTGGTCAGGGTGCGGTAAGTATCGCCAGTACTCCCCGAGTCGCCTAGTAAGACGCCTTAGACTAGCCACTCTATCATTCCCCAAACTATGTGGAGGACGGGGCTCTGACAACAGGCGGGTCTGGACCCCTTCCGGGGGGCCACAAACTATGGCCTGCTGCTGCTGGCAAGGAGGCCCGCCTTCAGGCTGGCCAGGCACAGGGACCCCATCTGTGGGACATAAGCAGGAACCTATCAGGAAACCTTGCTCTTTGACATCCCCTACCTGCAGGTGCGCGTGCCAAGCGGAGCGGTGGTCAGGGTGACGTGCCAATGGAATGGCACCGGTAACAAGAGGGGTCCGGTCTGGGGCGAGCGCACACAATGTAGCCGTGTTAGCAATTGCAGCCGCCGGTTCGTCCGAGCCACACTCTTCGTCAAGTGCAGACCCATCCTTCCTGTTCCGAGTGCGCGGTGTTCGGCTACGGGTAGGGCCTGAGCGCCGAAAGTCACCTCGATCAGGAAGCATCTGTTCACCATCATCGGTGGGGCTATCGTGGGAGTTAGACTCTTCATCAGCGGGCGGGGAACCTATTGAAAGGCTACCTGTTGAGGCCGCACTGGAGGCCTCTCCCACAAACTCTACCTTGATAACCTGACCGCTATCGAACTCGATCCTAAAACCTCCGGGTCCATCCTCTATATCAAGGCCACGGACAACGACAAGGTGCGAGGGGGGGCAATAGCCCTCGAACAGATCCGCGATCTTCTGCACCTGGCACCCTACACCTTGAACGAGGATCCATCGGAATCCCATCAAGATACCTCGACAGTCGAGGACTAGGATCTTTCTGTTCTCTGCCCGTCTGGCAGGCGGGCACGGAATTGTTTGTAGCTCTTCAGTAGCCACGAGTACCGCAGCAACGTGCCGACCTGAACAATCTACGTCTCGTAGCCTGGGAATGGTGGCTTTGATCAAGGTTCTGTGCTCATGGTATTGAAGAGCCTGGGTGATAGCACTAGTGCTGCTGACCGGGGACGACGGAGCAACGGGCACAACCTGAGGCATCCCATCGGATAGGACCAGAAAGCCAACCTCGGCAGGTGGAGTGTCCGACGTCATGCTCCAATCAACGTCCCAATCATTCCTATCTAGCAACCTGTCCTGTATGGCCCAACCGGCTGGGGGTCCTTGATCCCGGAATGTAAAGGCGATGGAAGCCCCTGCCTGGATGTCTACCCGCAGTTCCGGCGCAAGCGGTTGCGATAGTCCGTGGATGTAGACATTATACCTATCGCCCTGCTCAAGACCTGCTGCTCGAAGCAGGGATGCCCTACAATTCCTCGGGAAGAGAACAGCGGCGAAAACCCTCTGGTTTACAGCAAGACAGTTGCAAATAACAACAACCCGATCCTTAACCCAGGAGGGTGCCGCTACACATACGAGGACCTGTGGCCACGGTTGAGAAGCAACACCGATTAATTGATCAAAACACCTCGCATGGTCTTCATCTCTATAGACCGCCGCGGTGCCTAATGCCTGTTGCACACTGCACGGGATCGACAGGGGGACAACAAGGATATCAGGGATGTAACCTGGGGCAAAAATAAGGCACTTCACCTGAACCGGATGCAGGGGCAGTTCGTGACGCGCCGCAGCGGCCGGGACCATGGCCTCTCCACCTTGGAAATCGGTCACACCCGCAGCAAGGATGGGACTGGCGTCCCCTGTGCCATTCCACATCACATATTTATCTGCCGGGCTCATATCTCCCAGGACCTCAACGCACTTACGGCTTCTCACGAATGGTAACGATATGCCCAAGCAGAGCTCGGCGAGGAGAGATGCACCCTCAACTAGGACCCCGAGGCGGCGGGCCAAACATATATCCCCCTGCACTACAGTACTAGCAGTGTGCTCGTGGTTTGTTCGCAAGGGGTGGGAACGCCCTCCTGAACGGGAACGGCTCCTGGTATCAACAAGCGTGCCTGACCACCTCTGGCCTGCAGATCCTCGTTGATGGCTGGAATCGTCCGCCTCATCACCTCCACCTGTAGGGTCCTCTCCCTGCGGAGGATATGTCGTGCTTTCATCATCAGAGGAGCTAGGAATACAAAAGAACTTGAGAACAGCGTGACCCTGCACGGTAGCCTCATCCCCGTTCATCGTTGCCCCATCAACTGCGAGACTGTTGCCAACCGGAAGGCGGATTTCATGTACAGCCGCCAGGGAGGGTAGATGAAATACCCCGACATGGCTATGGTGAACCCAAACTCGGTTGCCCAACTCCCGAAAGTCACAGAGGGCAAAGTAGTCACGCCGCCTCGGCCTATGATGGGCAGCAGTCTGTGCTGAGGGGAGTTCAACTACAGCAATGATGTGGGAACAGAACTCTCCGTGTAGTTCAAGATTTGGGGTGGCAAAAGAGCATGCCGTGAGGCCGTGGATGTCACATCTAAATTTTTCCGCTACAGCCTCCAAAATGGTGCGACCGTAGTAATGATGCCTGCGCCACACGAATTGCTCGCCTTGAAATTGAACAAGTATCTCTGGCTGCGGTTGGCGCATTGGCAGGTGCTGAAGCAGACCCCAATTAAGGGGGTTGCGAACAATTTCTTCAGCAGTCGGTCTGGCAAACCTGGGATGACTGTGTCTATAGGCAGTAATCACATAACCGTCCTGCAGTCGCAGAGGAGTACCTGCGGGATGCGGTCGCTCTTCATCCCCCACAAAGAGGACAAGGGAATCGTCATCATTCCAAGTCTGGGGGAGAATGAAGGTCATGAAGTCATCGTAGGGCAGCTGTCTGAGGAACACACTAGCATAAAAGTGTCCTCCAACACGCGTAAGGTCAATGCAGACAGCTACCAAAGCTGGGCCGTCACCGCTGCGAATGCTACTGGGGAACCGCAGAAAATCGCAGTATGTGTCAAATCTCTGCGGCCGAAGTGGTACACAGACATCGTACGCAAATGCATCGGTGACCCCGCTAGTCCCCTAATGGCAACATAAGCAGGCCTGACATACGGTGTGTACACCGTGGCACCAAGCCAGTGCATTCTGTCATCATGCCAATCTGGTTGTACCGGAGATTCACGCGGCCCCTCATAGGCAATGAGCCACGGCACATCATCGTCAGCAAAGGGCAGCCGAAGCGGAGGGCGCTCAGCACAAAGGACCGGGGGGCCCACATGATGGACTATCTCCTCAACAGGGATGTCATGTGGGCGTCTGGTGTGGCTATTGGCATGATTTGCACTTGCAACTGACGTGGCCATACCCTCGGCACAAGGCATAAAGACAGCAGCAAGGCCAAGCGGGAGTAGAGGCCCTCCGGGCGGAGAAAAATCCGGGACAGCGAGGAGGCTGAGGATAAAGTGACTAGCCCAACTAAAAGTGGATATCCGCCTCTTGGCACTAGGCTTGTAGGTCCGCTGTTTGCCTTTAGAGAATGACATATATGAGCCGGCTGGCCCCTCATCCCGTTTATCATGCCCTGACACGCGTAATGGGGGGCGTCAGCACAGAACAACAGGCAGCCTCTCCCCATCGGGGACGAGTAGAAACCCAATTGACGCATTATAAGACACAGCAGAGATGAGAACAGCAGACCCATCCCCAGGATTCCAACGGAGACTGCCTGCTGTTCTAAAAGAACCCAATCTACAAAATCTGGCATAGTGCACCCCAGTGGTACACTGGCGCATAACACAAGAGTTGTCTCCCAGGGGCTCCAGTGTGGAATACTGGGGTGGACGGCCCTGCGCCACCGATCCGCCTCTTAGGCACCCCAACAATACCAAATGGAAAAGTCTGAACAGAAATGGAGAAAGGCCTGTGGCTGTAGGAAGTTGCAAAAGCCCAAGTAGGGCCTGCTCGGCTGGAGAGGAAATAGGGCAACTTGAAGGATCGAGGGAGCCCGGCACATAGCTGTACAAAGAAACAAAACTGTACAGCGACTACTCCCGATTCACTTTCAAACACCGAGGGCACATGGCAGAAGAGATGACATCCATACCGGCAAAGGATTTGTCCGAGGGGCTGCTGGTTCGAGGAACTCCGACCCACAGAGTTCGCACGTCCCGGGCCCACCAGACATCCAAAGCCACTGGGTAGTCCCTCCTCCATGTGCCCGCAGCGTGCAGCTACGTGTCTTGACCTCCGAGGTCTTTGTCGTCGTCCAGCAAGGAAAAGCCTCCCAAACGAGCCTTGATCTCCTCGTCCGACAAGAAGGGCCTTTCCCCTAGATTCGACGGTGCTGCATCGCTCCTTGGGAGAGCGTCTGTGGCTCTGCCCTCGTTCCCCGGGTGCCCAGGCGGAAGAACACCAAATGGGGCTAAGGCACTCCTCCGGGCGTCCAGTTTTCTTTCTAGGGAGGTGCCTCCCGTGGGAGGAGCGCTTAGCTGCGGCCTTGTCTTGACTGACAATCGGACACCGTCTGCCGACTTGTAGTGTTGCGTCGGCGACGTATTGGTCGAAACCCTCAGATTCCCCGGGCTGGACATGTAGGGATCCAAGTGGGGAGTTCCACCGCCGCCATCCGTGAAGGCCGCGAAACCACTCATCATCCATTCTGGTGGCGGAGCCGCAGCATCCGTAGAGCCCTCCCCGGGGGCTGCTGTAGGTGCCACCAAGCCGGGTGGCCCAATTGGGTGTCCACCCTCCGGCGGTCCACGGGCAACATCCGACATTGCAGCTCCAGTTTCGTGGTGCATGAGCTCCTGCGGAGCTTGCCTCCGATTCGCTTCCAGAGCCCGTCGTATGACCTCCTGGGCATCGTTCTTCGCCGTGCTTTCCGCCCTCCAGCTTGCGAGAACATCGTCGCTGAGGGGACTTTCCACTGGGACATCTGTCCGCGGTCCTCGCCATGCTACAGCCACAAGCTACTTGCGGGCTGTCTCCTGCACATCCGTGGCTTTGGTGAGGTCCTCCTTCAACTTGAGCATGTCTCTTTGGAACTTGGCATGCTCTTTGCGGTAGCTGGCTTTTAGATCCTTCTCGTAGCGTTCCCACATACTTTGGCGATCCGTCAAGGCCTTGTGGAGTCCTGTGACTTTCTGCTCTGCCTTCCTGGTAGCATTCAAGTTGGCCTGCAAGACATTCATGAAGGAAGGTGGCTCCGGGGTCGCATCCTCGTCCTCTCTGCCGTGCCAGCTGTTCCATCGACCATGTTGGTCGTAGCTGGGAAAACTCGAACTGCTCTTCGGCGAACCCCAGGCTCCACGCCAGTATGTATAGGACTGCCTTTGCGAGTTTTTCCA